AGCCAAGATAAATTTAAGATAATAGAAATCATACCAGGCATCTTTTCTGATCACAATTGCTAGGAAACCAAAAATCAATTATAAGAAAAAAACACACATGGAGGCTAAACAGCATGATGTTTTTTGACAGTACGGACAACAAATGGGTCAAAAAGAAGATAAAAAATACTTGGAGAATAATGAAGATAAAAACAACAATGGTTCAAAATCTTTGGGATAGGCAGAGGCAGTTCTAAGAGGGAAGTTAATAGTGATACAGGCCTAACTCAACCTATACCTACAGAAACTAGAAGAAGAAAACTAAGCCCAAAGTTAATAGAAGGAAGGAAACAACAAAGATTTAAAAAACTCCCATGAACAAAAGTCAAGGACCAGATGATTTCACAGAATTCTACCAAACATTTAAGAAGAGTTAATAGCTACCCTTCTCAAACTATTCCAAAATATTGAAGAGGAAAGAAATCTTCCAAATTCATTCTACAAGGTCAGCATCATTTCAATACCAAAACCAGACATGGACACTACAAAAGAAGAAAATTAAAGACCATCTCTAATGAACATAGATGCAAAAGTCTTCAACAAAATACTAGCAAATTGAATTAAAAAATACAGAAGGACCATTCAACACAACCAAATAACCTGGGATTTATTCCAGGGATACAAGGATGGTTCAATATCCACAAATCAATATGATACATAACATTAACAAAAGGAAGGATAAAACTATATGATCACCTCAATAGATGCTGAAAAAGCACTAGACAAAAATTCAATGTCTGTTCATGATAAAAACTTTCAACAAAGTGGGTACACAGGAAATATATGCCAACATAATAAAGGCCATATATGTCAAAGCTCCAGCTAATATCATACTCAGTGGTGAAAAGTGGAAAGCTTTTCCTCTAAGATCAGGAACAAGACAAGGATGTCTACTCTTACCACTTTTATTCAACATAGTGCTGGAGGACCTAGCCACAGCAATCAAGCAACACAAAGAGATAAAAGGCATTCAAATTGGTGAGGAAGAAGTTAAACTGTCACTATTTGCAGATGACATATTACATATAGAAAACCCTAAAGATTCCACCAAACAACTATTAGAATAACTGAATTCAGCAAAATGCAGAATATAAAATTAATACACAGAAATCTGTTGCATTCCTATATACTAACAATGAATTAGCAGAAAGAGAAATCAGGAAAACAACTCCACTTACAACTGCATCACAAACAATAAAATACATGGGAATAAGCCTAACCAAGGAGGTAAAAGACCTTTACTTAGAAAACTGTAAGACACTCATGAATGAGATCAAAGAAGACACCAATAAACAGGAATCTATCCCAGGCTCATAGATAGAAAGAATTAATACTGTCAAAATGGCCATCCTGCCCAAAGCAATTTACAGATTCAATGCAATCTCTATCAAAATACCAATAGCATTCTTCAGTGAACTACAACAAAGAATTAAAAAATTCACACAGAACCACAAAGACCCCGAATAGCCAAAACTATCCTGAGAAAGAAGAAAAAAGCTGGGGGGATTATGCTCCCTGACTTCAAGCTCTACTACAAAGCTACAGTAATAAAAAAAATTTGGTCCTGGCACAAGAACAGACCCATAGATCAATGGAACAGAGAGCCCAGATATAAACCCATGCATATACAGTCAATTAATGTATGATACAGGAGCCACTAATATAGGATGGGGAAAAGGCAGCCTTTTAAACAACTGGTGTTGGCAAAACTGGACTATATATAAGAGAATGAAACTGTATTACTGTCTAACTCCATATACAAAATTAAACACGAAATGGATCAAAGACCTGAATGTAAGTCATGAAACCAAAAAACTCTTAGAAGAAAACATAGGCAAAAATGTCTTGAATATAAACATGAGCAAGTTTTTCCTGAACACAACTCCCTGAGCCAGGGAAACAAAATAAAAAAATGAGCAAGTGGGACTACATCAAACTAAACATTTTTGTCTAGATGGTCTATCCATTGATATATATGAGGTTGTTAAAAGTCCCCCGTTATTTTATTACTATCAATTATTCCCTTTATGTCTGTTAGTATTTGCTTTATATATTTCGGTGCTCCTACATTGGGTGCATAGATATTTATAATTTTATATACTGTAGTTGGACTGGTCCCTTTATCATTATGTAATGCCCTTCTTTGTCTCTTGTCACATTCTTTGTTTTGAAGTCTCTTTTGTCTGGTATAGCTATTGCCACTCCAGCTTTTTTTTCTTGTTTCCATTTGCATAGAATATCTTTTTCCATCTCTTCATTTTAAGTCTATATGTGTCTTTAGGTCTGAAGGTAGTCTCTTATAGGCAACATACAAATGGGTCTTGTTATTTATTTTTTTACATCCATTCAGCCACCCTGTCTTTTAATTGGAGCATTTAGACAATTTACATATAAAGTTATTATTGAATGATATTTACTTCTTGCTATTTTGTTAATTGTTTTCTGCTTGATTTTATAGTTCTTCTCTTTTCCTTTTTTCTTCTCTTGCTCTCTTCCCTTGTGATTTGATGACTTTCTTTAGTGTTATGTTTGGTTATGTTCTTTATTTTTTGTGTATTTTTTATAGGTTTTTGGCTTCTAGTTACCATGAGTCTCATGTAAATCACTGTACATATAAGCAGTCTATATTAGGTTGATGACTGATTACGTTCAAACACATTCTAAAGCACTACTTTATTCCCCCTCCACATTTTATGTATGTAATGGTAAACAATGTATAACTTTTTTATTTTGTATATCCCTTGACTTATTTTTGTGTACATAACTGATTTTACTACTTTTGTGTTTTGAACTTCAATTTTGAATGATGAACTTGCTGGCTATTCTTGGTTTTTTCCTTTTAGCACTTTGAAAAATGCTGCCACTCCCCTCTGGCCTGTAAAACTGATGAAAAAATAGCAGACAGCTGTATGGGAGTTCCCTTGTATATAATTGAATGCTTTTCTCTTGATGCTTTTAATCTTTGTCATTTTAGTTACTGTGTGTATTGGCATAGACCTATTTGGGTTCCTCTCAATAGGGGATCATGGATGTGGATGTTTGTTTCCTTCCCCAAGTTAGGAAAGTTTTCAGCTATTATTTCTTCACATAAGTTTTCTGCCTCTGGGAACCCTTATTATGTGAATGTTTTTTATTTGAAGTTGATGTAGAGATCTCTTAGCATCTCCTCATTTTTTAAAATTCTTTTTTCTTTCTGTTGCTCAACTAGACTGACTTCCACTGCCCTGCCTTCCAGATTGTTGATCCATTATCTCACATCCTCTAATCTGCTACTGATTACCCCGAGTGTATTTTTCATTTCAGTAATTGTTTTCTTCGGCTCTGACTGGTTCTTTTTCGTATTTTCTACTTCTTGATTGAAACCCTCCCTGAGTTTATCCACTCCTCTCTCCAGTCCAGTAAGCACCTTTATGACCATTACCTTAAATTCCTTATCAGGAAGACTGTTTATCTCTGTTTCATTTTGTAACTTTTTTGGCATTTTGTCTTGTTCTTTCAACAGGAAAATATTCCTCTGCCTCCTCTTTTTGTCTGGTTCTCTGTGTTTTTTTCTATGTAGTAGATAGGTCAGCTGTATCTCCTGGTCTTGAAAGCAGTGGCCTTAGGTAGTAGATGTCCTGTGGTGCCTAGATGTGTAATACCCTGTGGTCACCAGAACCAGGCATTCTAAGGGCATCCCCTTTGTGGGCTGTGTACAACCTCCTGTTGTGGCTGAGCTGAGACTGCTGCAAGCTGGCTGGTGGGTTAGACCAGTCCTCTGCCAGGCTGTCAATCATAGCCAGTGGGGCTACTGTGGTTGCACTGGCTTGTGAGGCTCACTCCAGGTGCAACTGGCTGGAAGGCTTGGCACCACCTCTGCTTTCTGTTCTGTCAGTCCAGGTGCTGGCCTGTGGGGCTAGCTCCTCTCCCCAGGGCAGCAGGTACTTTGGTGGGTGTGTGGTGGACTGGGTGTATAGGGTGGGTGGGGCAAGTCTGAAGGGGAATGCTGGGGTACAGCAAGCAGTGCTGGCATGCTAGATGGAGAGAGTCAAAACTGGCTCCCATAAGCATCTGGCTATCTAGGCTCAGGGAGGGCTCAAACATGGCATCCACTTGCCCCTCCTCCCCTGGAGAAAACTCCTGCAGATCCCAGCCCTTCTACCACACATCCAGAACTAATCAATAAATCTCCTTTCAAACTGCTGCTTCCTGTGTTGGTCTCAGACCCACTGACACTGAATGCTGGTCCTCCAAAGCAGTGACTCGGCCTTCCCCAGCCCTCTTGCTCTCCCCACTGTTAAGCCCTGGTGTTTTTCAAAGCTACACATAATGGGCTCATCTTCCCAGTGCAGATCCCCAGGGCCAGGTGTTTGAGGTTTCAGGGAGTTTATCATCTACCCTCTCCACTCCTTCCACTTATGGATTGGGATGGAGGAAGGGTTTGGATCCTGCTCTATTGCAGCTCTGCCCCTTCACCCCTTCTCAATACAGCCTTCTCTTTCACTAACTGTGGAAGGTCTATTCTTCCATCAGTCCAGGTCATTTTTGGAGTTACTTGCCTCATGTGTATGCAGGAGGACATTATCACAATGACCTTCTATCCCTCCATCTTCCCAGAATCCCTACCCCTCAAAGAAGTATTTAGTAGTGTTGGCTTTTGTTTACGTTTTAAAAAATATCCCAAAGGAAAGCAATTTTAAGGATTAGCAATCTTATTAAAAATGCAGAGTAAAATAAAACTAAGCTACATGGCTCTAGAAAAGATTTTTTTTCAGTTTTATCCAATGACAAGACCAGTGAGTGTTTCAAACTAAATGGCTTCATTGTGTTACCGATAAACAGTTGGTAGAAATAAGTGCAGAACACTAAAATGTGACAATGGAAAGGCATAAAAGACTAAAACTGTAGTTAAATACAGCATATTTCTATTTATGTATGGACAATGGCTATTCATCTTACATAGCAAAATAGAGCCTCCTTACCAGTAATTATTACACCATCATCTTTATGAGCTTCAGCCATTTCTTGAACACAGACTTCAGAGTTCATATCAACCTTTTTCCCTGATAACTGTAAATAAGCCTGAAGAGAAGATGCGACCTTGACAAGAATAGAGCCTATAATAAAATTATACGAGAACTTATTACTGCAAAGAAAACAAAAGTATCGGAGGCTATGAGAAAAATGATGGAAAGGTAACATTGTTCCTGGTACACTGTCTTTATTCCTCAGCATATTTTATTGAATAGCAAGGCCTTTTCCTTATTTTCATGTGGTCAACATTTCCTTACTCCCAAAGCATTCACAGTAACTTCTACCAAGAGTATGAGTCATTAGGACATTATGAACTACTATTCCTTCTTTTGCCAATAGCCCTAGTCAGCTCATATAATACCAGAAAAGTGTTACTATACATGTAGGCAGGATTTAACATTAACTGAGCATTTACTAAAAGGCAGACACTTAAGTTACATTATCTCTTTTAATCTCCGTATCGACTTTATGAGGTGGTATTATAGTCCTGATTTTACAGATGAGAACTTGCTCGTGTTCTCACCAGAGCTAGTAGATCCAGTTCAATGATAACAAAGCCCAGGCTCTTAACCACTGTGGTATTTCACATGCTCCTACTCTGACATTATAGGACTGTGATGTCACTGACCATTGTAACACAACTAGAACCCTAAGCACTTGTGTTTTCAGTTGTACCTTGTGTGTGTTGGGGGGCGGGAGGGTATAATAACAATACAAAAACAGAATGTTTGAATTTCAACAGACTAATGCTTCTTCTCTGTGGATTATGGTCTTTTGGGTACCTGAGGCAAAACATTCAACTTTATTTCCATTATAATCCTACAGTAATTCAAGCTTCTAAAGAAATACTTAGGAATAGTACTGAGTATTAATAAGTATAAGAAAAAGTACTCTGTTAGCTAAGGAATCATTTTTCAAAACAATTACATGGGTCACAGAGCAAACTCACCAGCACACTCCTGTTGAAGTTTTTCTTTCCCTGTTTCTCATATATCAAATAAAGAAAGTAAGAGGCCCAAGTGATAAAATATTAACTCCACCTCTGTGAACAAATAAGATCAGGATGACATCCATTGTGAATGTTGTAAAGATCCTTCTTAGAATGCATTTATTTATGGGCCATTGTGTGCCTTTTAGTTTCACTAACATCAACTTAAGTTCCCCTAACTAATTTCCCATCTTCTCAGCTTTCCTAACTGACGTTACAAGTTTGGGGTAAGACTGATGAACTCTCATATTTACTTCTCCAGAAAGGAGGGAATAAAGCACATCACTATAACTGGTTTATTTTATTTAAAATCAAATTGCTTTTCAGCGTTTAAATGTAAACTACAGATAGGAGATTCCACTAACAACAGACATGAGGGCTTTAAGAAAAAACAAAACAAAACAATAACAACCCTGGAAAATTTCAGATGAAGATAAGATCAATGTTTTTCTAGCAAACATACTTTAAGAAGTAGAAAAATAACAGATTTTTAAAAACTTTTTCCTAGGTCTTTAAATATCTATATACATCAAAAAGGATAGTTTTATGAATACTTTTTTCATTCTTAAATGAATGAAGGTATCTTAATTCTAAGAGTTTTTAAAATGTTAAGCAATGCAACTTATACTATCCTCACCTCTCTCTACATCTTTAAAAAACAAAAACCATCATTATCAAAACTTCATTTCTGTTTGTGAATGAAGAATTCTCATGACTTGAAAATTTTCCCAAATGTCCCATCTTTAACATTATCTTTCTTTAGAAATGAGAGCTCTTGTTATGTCTTCTACCTCTTTTCACTTCATAAACTACTTCTTGGTTACCGACATCAATACCATTTTATTTAAATTAAAAAGTGAACTAGTACTAATAGTACCACTTATTGAAGGCATACTAAATTATGACTAGTGGTTTTATGAAGACAAATTTTGAGTGGAAAAGACAAATGAAGGTCTGGCTTTGACTCCTGAGCCTAAAGACAGCCTTTTTGAATGAATTAACAAGGTCACCATCTCAACTCACAGGAAGAAAACAAGCATTATAACACTCTTTTTCAAGTGGTAAGATGGAAAAGACCTAAGAGACTTAAGTGGCTGGCTCTTGAACCCTACAAGTCAGATAATAACTAAGTTGGAAAGGATTCCAGATATCTTTACTAACCATTAAGCAACAGTATCCTGAATAACTTTCCATTACTCTAAAATATTACTATTCCCAAGTGTAGTGAGAACTAAGAGAACTGAAGATAGAAACTTTGTCTCCAGTTATCTTTAAGCTTTCTGTCAGTAACATGGTCCCAGTATGAGAAAACACAAAATTGTAATCCTAATCAAATTCTATATGCTATTTCAATAGGTTACTGGAACAGCATTCCAAGTAATACTCAAAAATATTTTAAGCAGATGAAGATTAGCAATGTTTTTGTTTGTTACCTTTTGACCATCCATAAGAAAAGGGAAATAACTTTGATGTAAGAGCTGCTATTCAAAACTTTGTTTTTACTCAGTTACTAGTTACATTAAAGGTAGTAATGGTTTATATATTTTTCTCCTTGAGTCTGTAGTAACAGAACACAATTATATGACTTTTACAGCATTTCCATAGTACCCTGAATAGCACTGCTGAAGCTCTTTAAAATTCAATGAGAGTATGATATTATCCCATTTTTAAAGGGTAAAAAAGGTGATCCTGAAAAATCAGATCATACGTATGTGTCAGCAGTAACTTGAGTTTCAGATTTCTGTGGGTAGTTTTATTTTGATACTTTGACAAGAGAGCCTCACTGGACAAAAAGGTATAAAACTAACATGACAAGGAAATTACTAACAGCAGTAACAACTGGTCTCTGTAATGAAGTATTTTCTTTGTTATATATACACAGCCATGTTCTGCCAATATACAAGAGTTCCTAGATATATTAAATAATATTTTTATACAGAGCTACATTTCTTAACTTTCTGCATTCAGCACCTATGGTCAAGATACTCCAGCTACCCAAACCACTAGCCACCAAGCACATGTGCATGTATGTGCATGCACGGGCACACACATACACACACACACTCATACACTCTTAGATGACTAAAAAGTGCATCACTTTCAATGAAATTCAGTTAAAATAAGTTATTTGTATTAGAAATAAGATTATAGAAAGAGACATAAGACTTAATACTTCAAGAGACTAAGTCACCAATCACTCTGGAGGACTTTCCTGGTGATACCTTTATGTAGGGATCATACTTTGAAAAGTATTACTCTAGAGGATTGCCTGGGAAGGTCCTCTTATAGGCTAGTAGGAAAGTTTCCACAAGAACATATGGAAGCATTTCCCTCCGAAGGATATTCTATTTCAGAAATAAAGCTAAACTGAAAAACACAAATACCAACACTACAAAATTCCACAACAATAAATAGTCAATTACATTTGTTTGCACTACAAGGTAAAGATAGTCTTCACTGCCATCTGTTCCAGAAGTTTCAAAGACTGTGGGTCTAGAGTTCTAGTATTTCCAATCTTTACATCAGGTTCTATTAGCAGAAATGTTCTTGAAATCATTATGTCAATATAGATAAGTTAATCTGACCATCTGTTTCCTGAATGTTACATAAAACCTTCCGAATACCACATATCAAAATAAAACATTCCACTCGGCTAACCTTTATGGGATTTCAATTCCACTTTCCCCAGTTGGCTGACATAAACATCTATGGCACCCTGATGAGTTGAGGCTTTTAGACATCCAGAGGATGAATCTAGGAGAAAGGAAAAACTATTACTCATTTGAATAATTACAATAGTAAACTTGAAATAAAAGGCTCTGCTTCAACATTTAGGATAAGGCACTAAGAGAATTGCAAGGTTTTGTATTTTCCTCATAACTATGCTATCTTTTGCTTTAAAATGAAAATAGAATCAGAAATCTAGAAATCTACACCTAGACAACTTAATACATGATCCCTAGGCTTATTACTAAACATTTTACTTTAAAACCTAGTATGTAGGAAGGACAGGACACAAGAAGTGGATCCTTGACAGCCAAGAGCACTAAGCATCATGATACATCTAGTTTTTTATTGATTTTCAATATTTACTATAAGAATTCTATCTCAGATATAAGCAACAGCAAAATTAACGAAGATCAAAACCTCTTTCTTATATTTGCTCCTTTTGGCAAATCTGCTAGACTAAAAACTGCTCCTAAGAGTGAACGATTACTCTAGATAAAGTTTTGTTGCATTTCCTAAAGGACAGAAATGGGGGGAAAAAGGAATCACTTGAAGAATGGATGAAGCTTGTATAGATCTAAATATTTATTTCCAAGTTTCTGGAATTGAACAGATATCTTTAGGTCAGGGGAAGAAAATCATAATTAAGGCAGTCCTGATTTGACACTCAAATTTCCTTAGTCATCACTGACCCCAGTTTTCAGTCGGTCAACATTTCAAGTTTAAGGGAAAACTAACAGAATCAGAGATAAAGAACTTAAGAGAAAAATGAAGGGGCTTCTCTTTCCTCCTCTCCATGGCAAATGAACCTTTAATATTCCATCTGACTGCTCTGAGAAGGCCAAAGTGTATTTTTTTTAGAGTGGCCTCTTAAAAAGCCTTTTTAGCAGGAGCCTTATTACTTAAGAGTGAAAATAAAATAGGGAGTATGGTGCAAATAATGCCAAAAATTACATTATACTTTTTATAAAATACAGAGAAAAAATATTTGTATACCCAGAGGAGCCAACATTTTTCTTTTAAATTACTCCAAAGACAACCTCTTGGGAACAAACCGTTTAAAATCTGACACCAAGACAGTTTATTATAATCTACCTCTATACTGAATAATGTCCTTTATCAGACCCCATTTATTTAATTTTTAAGTGTTAAAAGGAAATACTGATGCTGGGAAACTAAGCCACTAGAGATAAATGACACAGAATACCTGGACAAAGTTACTCAGGAGACTTTAACTAGGTTGTCAAGATTTGTTGAGCTACCTTCAACTTTCTCCAGCAAATCTTTTGTTGTAATAAAAAATATAAACCAATCAAGAAATTTCAGATAAACATTACCTACTTGTCACCTTTGAGATTAATGCACCAAAAAACAAAATTTCTCCAGAACCACAACGATGCTTTTTAGGCTCTACAGCAGGGTTGGCAAACTACAGCCCTCCTCTTGTTTTTATTAATAAAGTTTATTACGCAGACACATCCATTTGGTTGTGCATTGTCAATGGCTGCTTTTGTGTTAAAACGACAAGAGTTGCATGGTACAGATAGACTAAGTGGCCCACAAAGCAAAAAATTTTTACTATCTGGCAGATTGCTGACAACTAGACCAAAATACTGTGTTTTAAGGAAATGAGCTCCACCCCCCCCAAAATCAAAATATGAAATTTGATTCTAGTTAGGACAGAGTTTTACCAATTTATTGGTACCAGCTCTTTTCCCAAGGCCTCAGTAATATACAGATAGGTATAAAATTCTTGCTTATAGAAATGAATAAGGTTGTTGTCTCAAGGCAGTTCTAACTTTTCACTGACCCTGACTGCTCACTGTTTTCTAGGGGTAGTGGAGTTGCTTTATAAAAGCAACAAATAGCACATTGCCAAGTAAATAACTAGGACTTTGCTGACTTGCTTAAAGAATATGTCACAACTTTTTTGTTTATCTGTTTAACTTCCTCAGCTGTATGTTTTTATCAGTAATGTTTGTTTGCTTATAAAGGAGCTCAAGTGGGTTTGAAAAATTGCAAGGCATCTCCAGCTCTGGTTGTCACTAGAAATGGGATGGATTTCCACAGATCAGTGACTTAACAGGAACTATAAGAGCTTTGATTTCTATAGAAGTTTTACTTAATTTCTGCCGTGCTCCCCTCTCTCCTTCTCTCCCACTGTCCTTCTTTCCCTTCCTTTTCTGATTTAATACTCACTATAAAAATATACATATTATATTGAAATAATAGTACATTTTCTACTGTTTTTTTACTTAGTAAAATGTCAGGAATATCTTTCTATATTGAAAACTATAGAGTTATCATTACTTTGTTAAAGGCTGAATATTTCACTTTACGTCTACCATAATATATTTAATTGTTCTTTTACCTGGAACAACTTAAAATGTACACTATCTTTTACTACCATAAACAAAGAGATGAATATCCTCATGTATGTATCTTTATATCCTTGCCAGATCATTTCCTTGGGATAGAGTTCTAAAAAAGTAAGTGCTAGGACAAAGGAAATGTAGACAGAAACACAGCTATTTAAAAAACATGCAAAATTTACCAACTAGGAGCTTAACACATACCTACTGTAATGTTACCCATCTTGCTTTGTAATGTTATATCACCTGCAAAGGAGAGAAAAAGAAAGACAATTTTATTTATTAGGGTTATATATAAACGAACTGTGTTACATGGTATCCTAAAACACAGTTGAATATCCTCAGTGTTATTTTAAAACAATGTTATTGTTGTTGGCAATTTTTCTCAGTATCACAAACTTAGTCAAGAGATTTAGTTGCAATTCTGAAATAACTAGCTTTAGGTATCTATACAAACTCTTTTCCTCTGCCCCACCTCCAGGTTTTATAGCATAACTATAAAACAAACCACTACAGTTTCTAGCAAGCATGGAAGAAAAATAATGATACTTCTAAGTTCCATAAATGGAAATATTACTTAAATGTACTCACTATGCATTTTCAACCTAAACATCACTGCTTTAATCAGACCACACAAAGCCAAGTTTTGAACCAAGTGAAAAAATTGTCTATGGAAAAAATTAATTAGTTATTTATCAGGCCTGTATACTATCTCTACACCTGTTAGATCAAAGTGGTTTCTATACTATAAAGAAGTTTGGAGCAGGAATGATGAATACACTGAAGTATGACAAACAAAGAAAAAATCTTCAAGGATCTCCATCTTTCAATGAAAATATATTTTGCAGACAAGTATGGGATATTCTAACTATTCTTCCCTGTCCTCTTCCTGCATTACAAAAAATAGTAGTATATTTTTTAATATGTGTGTTTATATGTAGAATTATTTCTGGAGCCATACTACCCATATGTATGGCACTGAAATGTAAGCAATACTACTTACCTCTTCTACTGTAACTGGAAAACTACTTTGAAAAGTAAAGAAATTACTTTCATGTCAGAATTAATTTAGGGTAATTGAACTCACTTGTTTAATTCCATGCATCCTGTAAATACTGACATGAATCAGTATCTGGGAAAAAGCAAGAAAAAGCATTTGATTCACTTATCCGACAGTCAGATGTGCTTTGATTGCAAAAATCTTTCTAGAAGTCTTTAATTCCACCATATTTCATCTTTATATATGAATAAGGGGGACATTTTATAGGAATAAAACTTGGTTTGTGGAGGCGGAGCCAACATGGCAGCGTGAGTAGGACAGTGGGAATCTCCTCCCAAAAACATATATATTTTTGAAAATACAACAAATACAACTAATCCTAAAAGAGAGACCAGAAGACACAGGACAACAGCCAGACTACATCCACTCATGCAAGAGCCCAGCACTCGGTGAAAGGGGTAAGATATAAGCCCCGGCCCGGCGGGACCGGAGCACACCTCCCCCCAGCTCCTGGTGGGAGGGAGAGGGAGCCCAGGACTGCTAAACACCCAGCCCCAGCCACCCGCACCAGAGCGCAGACACAGCATGCATGGAGGGCTGGAAACTAGGGAAATAGGGCAGCAAGACCTCTGAGCGGGTTCCAAAGCTGATGCCCTGTGACAAACAAAAACGAGTGCTTTTTGAAAGTCTTAAAGGGACAGGGACATAACAGCTGGACGGAAACAACAAAGGTCACAGTCCAGTGGCTGGAAATTACAGGGAAAACCAGGCGCACCAACCCCCTGGGCAACAGCTCTGAGACCCCTGTTGAGGTAAACAGCCAAACAACCCCCCCGTCCATTACCCCTCTGAGTGCTGCGAAAGCAGAGAAGCAGCCTAAGGCAGGCCACGCCCCCAGAAAGGGAGTTTTCTCCATATCAGCCTGGCAAGACACAAAGACCTAGTCTACATGCAATTACCCAACACAAACCACTAGGGGTCGCAGTTGTCCCAATAAAGAAAGGCCAGTAGCAAGTGAAAAGTTTGGCCCTCCCAGCTGACAGTCAATAGCACCTGTCAACATGAAAAGGCAAAAAAATATGATCCAGACAAGACTTAACCCAGACAGCTTCGGCATCTGCTACATCTTCCCCTGAGAAAGAACCTGGGAAGATAGATTTAACCAGTCTTCCTGAAAAAGAATTCAAAACAAAAGTCATAACCATGCTGATGGACTTGCAGAGAAATATGCAAGAACTAAGGAAGGAGAATACAGAAATAAAACAAGTCTGGAAGGACTTCAAAACAGAATGGACGAGATGCAAGAGACCATTAATGGACTAGAAAATAGAGAACAGGAACGCAGAGAAGCTGATGCAGAGAGATAAAAGGATCTCCAGCAATGAAAGAATTCTAAGAGAGCTGAGTGACCAATCGAAAAGGAACAATATCCGCATTATAGGGGTACCAGAAGAAGAAGAGAGAAAAACGGATAGAAAGTGTCTTTGAAGAAATAATTGCCAAAAACTTCCCCAAACTAGGGGAAGAAATGGTCTCTCAGACCACAGAGGTACACAGAAATCCCATGACAAGGGATCCAAGGAGGGCAACACCAAGAAACATAATAATTAAAATGGCAAAGATCAAAGACAAGGATAAAGTATTAAAG